TCTTGGAGGTAAGGCTTTTTGTCCCTATTTGGTCTTTCATGAATAAATTCATGTCCTTCGGCTTGGATTTTCAAACTAGGATATTTTACTAAAAAAAAACATAGAGAAGAGAATTTTAAAAAAATCTAGTTTTTATAGATCTTAAATCTCGTCTGCGATGTTGTTCTTGATTTATTAATGATTGTCAGGTTGAATTGTAATTGAAAAGTGGCCTTTGAAGTTGTATTTATATCGTCGTGAAGTTTTGGAAGAGTTAGGATTGGATTGAGATTTAAAAAGAACCTAAAAAATTCAAAACATTTTCCTCCATCGGGCGGCTCCATGGCACCACAAGAGTGGAGCCTCAGCACCGCGTTTTTCCCCTTTCTCTTGAGACTAGGCGCCCACTTTTGGGAAAAATTTCAACACTGTACATCTTTCGGTATTTTTATCGTAACTTTCTCTTTTGATATCCAATTGAGACGATTAGTGTGTTGAAAAAAATAACTCAAATAGCTATAACTTTACTCTATATAACTTTTGTCAATTCAAACGTTTACTATGTCAAAAATGGGTCTAAATCTTGGGCTAAAAATCTAGAACGTATTTGTGCGGTTGAAAATTGATTTCTGAAAATATTTCACTCATTTTTTACCTCTAATCTGATTGACTCATAACAATCTTCAATTATCGTTTGTGGTCCGAATCAACTATTGAAAACTTGCAATTGAGTCCTCAAACTTCATATTTTACATTTTTTTTTGTCATTATTCACTTCTTTTTTTCAATTTAGCTTCCAATCATCAAATTTCACCAAATCGACATTAACTTCTCATTGATTTATGCCAACATCACTAATTTATCCAAGTTTGCACTGTTCGCACTAATTCACTTAACCTATAATAACACGAAAATACAAATCAAAAAGTTCTAAAACTCTAAGAATCAAACGAAATATCAAAATGAAGTAACGTTAATATGAAGAGTGAAATACACAAAGTAGTGGGCATGGGTAAAGAAGATACTTTTTTTCTTTAATTATTTTACTTGTTTAATGTGGTAAATAGAAAGTTAATATTTTTCCTTTTTTAAAATATAAAAAATATAATCGAAATTATTTTTCTGATCGGCTAATGAAAATATCGATGAAAACCACCCATTTGTTCTCATGTCGGACACAATTGAAAGATATAGGATCACAAGTACAATAAATCAAAGATTGAGGTAAAACCTGCAAAGATTAAAAATGTTTGTGCCGTGACGACAATTACCTATATTTACGTCATCCACAAATGAAATGCTCTATAAGTGTTGTAAATGTAATATTTGAATATGCATGAATATTAAGTAAATTAGAATTAATATCAGATAATATATACGTGTTAATACATATTAAATCATTTATTTAATTTCAAATTAAGTAAAACTAGATATTGATTAGAATACATGAACATGAATAATGAAATACATTTTGTAATGTGAAATTCTAATTAACTTATAATTAGAATTAATAATATTGAAATGCACGGATGAAAATGAGTATTAATTAAATGAACATGAATGTGAATTAATTGAGAATTAATAATGGGGAATTCATACATTAACGAAAGCACACTAGTGAAATGGATATGTTGAATGTACATTTATATTGATGGTAACTAAATGGTTAAATAAATTGAATACATATTGAAAAACGAAAAGTAAGATATTATTAAAATAATTAAATTATAGTAGGCTTAGAATCGTCCAAGTAATATATTATTGAAATAATTGAATTATAGTATGACTAAAATCGTCAAAAAAAAAAAAAAAAGATTATCGCTTAATGTGATATTTAATACAGGGTAAATATATTCACACAACAATTTTTGTCAACCACACCACGTTTTAATTACAATGAATATTTCTAAACTTTTCTTATTATTACACTTACGTTCTCAATTTTATTTTTTTAAAATTTGTATCATCAGTCCTCTATCAATTTTCACATATTGTCTAGAAAGACAAATTTTGCCCCCAAAATATTTGTCACGAGGGTCAAAAAGACATATTTATCTCTTGTATTTTTAAATAATCAAAATAAATAATTAATACAAATGTTAAAACAAAATATTTTTCCATCTTTTCAATGCAACTTAAATGGAATATTTGGATGAGAAATCGTGATTAGAGACAAAATATGTTAATTAATTGAATATTAAAAATGACAATGCGACGGGAAAAAAAGTTGAGGACGTAAAACTAAAAGGGAACAAATATTGAATTTTTTTCTTTTAATTAGAATATGGTGCATATATAAATAATTTTTGTGTGAATATAATTACCATTTAATGTATTATAGATATATAAACAAAATTGGGTTAAATTTATCAATGACCACCCAATAGTTAAATTACTCGATAATTTTATTTAATATAATCAAATTGGGTGGCCAATGTGACACTAATTATAAAGTTGTGTGGTCGTGATAAAATTAAATTAAATTGGATAACCAATATGATACTAAATATAAAGTTATAGGTGATCATTGGTGAATTTAGCCCAACAAAATTCGTCTATAGTGATTCCAACACAGGCGAAGAGGAAGAAAACCCCGAGGGCTTGCTTGAGAGTTATGACGTACCGATTATGAGCATTTTTTAAAATACCGGTTATGAGATGATCGGTTATGAATAATTTTAGTAGCGATTTTTAAAACAATTCAACCCATGCTTTGAAGTTTATTATCTACCGATTCTGAATTTTTTTTTTTTCAAAAACAAAGTTACATATACGTCATTTAGTGAAATTTTCACTTTATAGT